AACAGCTGTATTACGGATTAAACTTCCCAGTTTTCCCATCTTGCACCAATTATTACCGGGCGAAAAGATAATAAATAAACCCAAAGCTGGGCACAAATCTGCGAACCATCTGCAAAGGGGATTTGAAAACATGAATATGCAAATCAGCCTGGCTTCCTGTCAGCTCCTCCAGGTTTGCTGCCTCTCAGAGCCGCAAATTTCAGCTCGGCGTTAAATTTAAGCTCTGGCTCAAATTAGGGGTTTGGCTGGAGGGTTGGATGGAGCCGCCTCCGGCGCTGTGGATTCCCCGGGAGGGTTGAAGGGCACAAATCCCGAAGGAAATGCACTTGGAGCGAGGAAAACCTCAGAGGCGATGGTAAGGTTTGCTCCCAGCGCAGGGAATCGCGGTGCTCGCCCCGCTCACCCCAATTTTGGCTCTTTGGCTTCTCGTGCTCCTGAAAACATTCAAAGAAAACATTTTCACCCCCTCCCACAAGGCAGCCAACTCCACCTTTAATTCAAGTTTTGTTTTCCCTGAGAGTTGTCTATAAAGACGCCAATTAATTATTAATTGGAGTGTGACACCGAGCCGCCACTCCCTAACAAGCCTGGGAAGATTTTGTTGTGGATTTCATCCCAGCCCTGCCAGGGTTCCTCGGGTCTCGACTCCTCATTTCCCCCAGGCTGGTGCCACCGGGACAAACCTGCAGGAGATTTTTATGTCCCAAAAAAACTTCTCCACTCCCAAACTGCAATTAAAAGCAGCAATTTGGGAGCACAGAACTCCCGTTTGCGGGGTTGGCAGAGCGGCGCCGACGGGCAGAGCCCGGCGGGGTGGGGGGGACGGGGCACCCAAAATCCCATCCCCACGGCCCAGCCCGGCGTGGACCCCAAAACCCTTCTCTTTCCCCCAAAAGTGACTTACCGTGGTGGGGACCGTCCTGGCCCTGCCCGGTGGCCGCGGTGACGCCGGGCTGAGAGTGGCTGGTCCTGAAAGTCGAGCAGCAGCAAATTTGGGGGTGGGAATTTCCCTTTCGGGTTTTGAGCGAAGAGCGAAACCTCCGAAGCAGGAAACGAAAGGGGAGAGAGCGACGGCTTCGAAGAGAACTCGGAAAAGCCCCGGGGAGGGCGATGGAGGCCCCGGAGGGCTCGTGAGGACCGAGGGTTGGCACCAGTCGGTGCCTCAGTTTCCCCTCATAACTTATTCCAGCTCATTAGCGCTTTAATCTGGGGTTGAGGGGTGTTTGTGCCCCGGAGACCTCATGCCCTGTAAACCAGTTAATATTCCAGCTAATATCCCAATAATCCCGAATAATCCGCGCTCTGCTCCGGCTCAAATCTCCCAAATCCTCCGCGCAGCGCCGGAGCCAAAGGAAAATCCTGGGCTGGGTGTTGGAGCCCGTCCGGGCCCGTCCCCCCGGGGCTTTTCCCGTGGCCATCCTGCTTCTCCCAGCGCGCCCAGTGCCAGGCGCTTACCGGTCCCAGCACACCTGGAGCCATGACCTTGGCACCTCCATAAACCCCTGCGGCCCCCAGTGTGCCCAGTGCCGGTCCCTTACTGGTCCCAGTACACGTGGGGTCCTACCCTGCGGATCCCAGTGTCCCCAGTGTCAGTCCCTTACAGCTCCCAGTGTCCCCAGTGCCGGTCCTTTACTGGTCCCAGCACAGGTGGGGTCCTACCCTGCGGCCCCCAGTGTGCCCAGTGCCGGTCCCTTACTGGTCCCAGTACACGTGGGGTCCTACCCTGCGGATCCCAGTGTCCCCAGTGCCAGTCATTTATTGGTCCCAGTACACGTGGGGTCCTACCCTGCGGATCCCAGTGTCTCCAGTACCAGTCCCTTACAGCTCCCAGTGTCCCCAGTGTCAGTCCCTTACTGGTCCCAGCACAGCACCCCCATTTCAGGCGCGGGGCCGGCCAGTGGCTCCAGGACCGGGCGCTATTCCCGGGATGGGTGAGCACCTCCAGGGCCCGGCGTTTTCCCGGTCGGGGCGGCTTTAGGACCCGGCGTTTTTCCCGGTCGGGGCGGCTTTAGGACCCGGCGTTTTTCCCGGTCGGGGCGGCTTTAGGACGGCGGCAGCCCCGCCCGTGCACCTGCCCCGGAGGCGGGCACAGGTAGCGCAGGTGGCCCCGCCCCACCCGGACGCACCTGCGGCCCCGCAGCCGCTGTGGAGCCGGTGAGAGGGGAGGGGACGGGATGGGGGTCCCGCTGCTGAGCCCCTCTCTGCTCTAAGGGGGTCTGGGGGTCCCAGTGCCGCGCTCTTGCCGGGGAAGAGGTCCCGGGGTCACCGGTGGGCAGCCCTCACCCCAGGGAAAGGAGGTCCGGTGGTCCCGGGGGTCGTGGTGCGGCGCCCCTCTCTGCGGTAAGGGGGTCTGGGGTCCTGGCGTGAAGTCTTTGCCTCGGGGGAGGGGTCCAGGGATGCCGGTGGTCCCGGTGCGGAGCCCCCCACCACGGTGAGAGAGACGGGAGGCTCCCGGTGAGGAGCCCTCGGCCCGGGGGAAGGGGCAGCAGGGTGGTCCTGGTGAGGGGGCGTTGGGTGCTCGGGGGTCCCGGTGCAGAGACCCCTCCGTGCAAGGGTGTTCAGGTGGTCCTGGGATGGAGCCCCCCGGGGTGGGGCGTCCGGACAGAGCCCCCTGAGCAGCCCAGCGGCTCCCGGGGCTGTGGCCGTTCTGGGCAGGGCACTGGGAGGACCCGGCCCCCATCACCCCCACGGGGCGGGGCAGAGACCCTCACACAGCCCCCACCTCCGGGCGCTGCCATCCCACACCCCGGGAGCGGCTGCAGGACCCCCTGGGCTCGCCCCACCTGGACCAGGGGAGCCCGACAGGATCCTGCCTCCTGTGGGCTCCCAGCCCTCGCCCTCCCCAGCACATCCAGTTCCTCACACTGGAACTGAATCCCGCCGGGAGCACTCCCGCTGTGCCCCACTTCCCAGTCCCTGCCCCTCCCGGTGTCATCGTGGCTCGCTGCCACGTGGAGCCGGTGGCCACCTCACCTGCGGCAGTGTCGGTGTCAATTCACTTGTATTTTATTTATTTTCCTTTTTTTTCCTCCACGAATGCATCTCTGTTTCTGCCTTTTCCCACCATCCCTCCCTCCCACATCACGAGGGATGCTCCTGGAATTCCCACCGAACCCCCTTTTCCCTCTTTTCCTACCCCAGTATGTTCCCTTAGGTCATGTTGATGTTTTTCAGGGCGCAGGGCCAGCCCCGTAGCAACACGGGATTTTCGGGATGGGCTGGATGGGATGGAGCAGAATCCACCTGGGAGTTCGCAGGGCAGGTAGCAGAGAGCGCAGGTGCACCAGGAGCTCACGCTGGAGCTCTATGCCAAATCCACCCCAGTCTTCTGGAGGGGAATTTTTTATTTGTATTTGGCTTTTTGGCCCCTTTTTGGGAAGGGATTGAGGCCCCCTGGGAGCAGCAGCTCTTGTGCACAACCTGTGCCTTCCCTGCACACCTGATTGTCCCTCTGAGGTTAATTAGCACCGACACCTAACGAGCTTCATTAGCAACGTAGCAGGAAGGAAGCTCAGGGAGTGGTGGGGTTGATGGAAATGGGTTTTTTTTTCACCAAAATCCGTTTCTTTTCCCTCCCCCTTGTTGTACGGCAGCGCCCTGCAATGAAAACCTCGGGTCGGGGGCACGAGCGGAGCCGGGGGCACCTTGGCTCGGCTTCGGGCAGAAATTCCGAGGGAATGGCAGGGAACCCCAGGGGATTGATGTTTTTTCCCCTATCCTGCTTTTCTGCTGGATGAGGCCGGGCGCTCTTGGCAGTGAAGCGTGGTCCAGCTTTGATCCCGCGGCGCTCAAAGCGGGGACCCCGGGACCCTCCTCCTCCTCCCCAGCCCAAACTTCCTCGCCCTTGAAGTTGTGGCAGGTGCCCTTCCCCGCCCCGTTCCCAAGAGAATGAAAAGAAAAGAGGAAAAAGGAATCAAGGGAAGGGGGGGGACCCCGAAGTGGAGGAGGAGGAGGAGATGGCGGTGAATGGATCCCGCCGGGCTCGTCCATGCTCCGGCGGCCGCGGCTCACAAAGAGGAGCCGCGGGAAGTTTGGGGGTGGTGGAAAGCTCAGAGCCTCCGGCGGATCCCGGGGCAAATTCGGGAGCTGGCGCCGAGCTCCCGGTGGCCGTGACACCGGACACGGCACCGGACACCGAACCTGCTGCTCCAACTCTGCCGAACCCGGAGCGCTGCATGGTCTGCTCGAGTTTTCCTTCGCAGGCAGGAAAATGTCCAGGAAAAGGCTTTTTGCAGCCGTCAAAAATATTTTGGCAGATCTTGGGCTCTATTTTAGCTTCGGCGTGCCAGGGGCGGTGGCGGGGGGGGGAGGCTGCAGCCTCAGGATCAGTCCCAGAAGAAACTTTTTGGGGGGTCTAGTGTGTGGTGAGGGATGGGGGGGTCGGGGGTGGCACATCCTCCGGAACTTTTTAACCTGCACTTTTCCTGGTGTTTTAATTTCGGGATGGATTTAGGAGCTGGAAGGGCTGGGGGGGAATGAATTTTAAGGTGTCGCTTGTGCCAAACTTTATATTAATATTTTGTTAATATTGCCATATTAATATATTACTATCGTTGTACTGCAATATTGATATGTTAATATGTTGCTAATATTACTTTAATATGTCGATATATGAATGTATTATTTTACTATTATATTATTATGTTATTATTTGTTATTAACCTGGCCTAGTGGGAGGTTCCCTGCCCGTGGCAGGGGGGTGGACTGGGTGATCTTTAAGGTCCTTAACAAAACTATTCCATGAGCTGATCATATTTATATATTCTGTTTTAGGTACAATATAATCTATTTTAAATACAATATATCTTCAGTGCAGTATTTCTGTTTTCACACCAAGGGGATGCCCCCGGGGCGCATCCAGCCAGGAATTCACTGCAGGTGTTTCTCCTTCCCCAGGTCACGGAGCAAAGCAGGACACCGTGATGCACCCAGAGCCCTCACATCCCTGAACCCCCCAGCCCAGCCCGGAGAACCCTCCAGAAACGCCCCAAAACCCCAAAATGAGGCTGTTCCGCCGCCGCTACAGCACCTTGAAGGTGGCCTTGGCGGGCGCCGTCTTCGTCCTCTTCCTCTTCATCCTCCAGAAAGACGTGGGGAGCAAGGAGCCGGGCGAGGAGCCGTGGCTGCGGAACATCGTGCAGGGCAAGGACCAGGTGCTGGACCTGATGCTGGGCGCCGTGCGGGACCTGCGGGACTCGATGCCGCGGCTGCAGATCGGGGCCCCGGAGCCGCCGCCGGAGCCGCTGCCCAGCGCCCGCTCCTGCCTGCCCGGCGTCTACACCGCGGCCGAGCTGCGGCCGCTCATGGAGAGACCCCCCCAGGACCCCGCCAGCCCCGGGGCCGACGGAAAAGCCTTCAAGAAGGATCGCTGGACGCCCGAGGAGACCAAGGAGAAGGAGAGGGGCTATGAGAAGCATTGCTTCAACGCCTTCGCCAGCGATCGCATCTCCCTGCAGCGGGCGCTGGGCCCCGACAGCCGCCCCCCAGAGTGAGAGCCGGGCCCAAAACGCCCTGCGGGCACTTACTGCCTTTAGAATGGTCACTTACTCCCTTCAATCTGGCCCCTTACTCTCCTAAATTGTAGAGGAAATTAAAGCAGATTGGGGCCAGGATGTCACCCAGCACTGGCAGAGGATTGCATGGAGACAGAGCTAAAAAAAAAAAAAAAGAATTTATTTATTTATTATTATTATTTCTCCCTAATTTTGGCCCCTTGGGGGCGGTTTAATGGCAACAGGCTCTTTGTGTCTCCCTGTACCTGCTGGTGGCTCCGGCACCTCCTCGCCTTTCCCTCCTCTCCCTCCTTTATTCCAGCGGCTCCAGCGGTCAGACTTTTTCTTTTCTTAGCCGAGTGGAACAGCCTCGGACCCCGCTGGGGTCGGGGGGAGGGAAGCAAGGAAACTCCAGAGATTTCCCCGCCTGCCCTCGGCCAGGGGCTGCCGGATTAAAGCGGGGCCGCGCGGAGGGGTGGGATGGGGGAGACATGGGGGGAATTCGGGATGGAAAAAGCCTTGAAAGGGATGGAGGAATCCAGCCCCCCGCGCTGGCAGGCGATTATCCGTGCTTAGCAGGTGTAGCGGTGACAAAGGGGGGACACGGAGGCCGGGAATGGGACTCACTCAACCAAAATCAATGGGAATCAAAGCAGGGACGAGTGCGGAGGGGCCGGAGCTGCTCCCCCGCAGCTGCAGGGTTTGGTGGGGGCGATATCGGAGGTCACTCCAGTCATGCCTCCCCCTTCACCCCCCCATTCTGTCCCCCAGGTGCATCGATCAGAAGTTCAAGCGCTGCCCTCCCCTCCCCACCACCAGCGTGGTCATCGTGTTCCACAACGAGGCCTGGTCCACCCTGCTCCGCACGGTCTACAGCGTGCTGCACTCGTCCCCGGCCCGGCTGCTCCGCGAGGTCATCCTGGTGGACGACGCCAGCACGGACGGTGGGTGGGGGACACGGGGACACAGGGGCCAGAGGGGTGCAGGAGCACGGTGGGATGTGGGGCCGAAGGATGGGGGGCCAGAGGGGTGCAGGAGCACGGTGGGATGTGGGGCCGAAGGATGGGGGATTAGAGGGGTGCAGGAGCACGGTGGGATGTGAGTCGGAGGGATGCAGGATTGGTGATGGGATGTGGAACCAGAGGGATGCAGGGAGCATGGTGGGATTTGCCAGAAGGGTGCAGGAGCACGGTGGGATGTGAGTCGGAGGGATGCAGGATTGGTGATGGGATGTGAGGCCAGAGGGATGCAGGGACCATGATGAAATGTGGGTCAGAAGGATGCAGGATTTGTAATGGGATGTGGGGTCAGAGGGGTGTGCAGGAGTTGTGGGATGTGGAATCAGAGGGATGCAGGGAGCACAGTGGGATGTGGGGTCAGAGGGGTGCAGGATTTGTGGTGGGATCTGGGTCAGAGGGGTGCAGGAGCCCTGGTGGAAAGCAGGAGGCAGAGGGATGCTGGAGCCATGTGGGATGTGGATGCCAGAGGGAGGTAGGACAAGCTGTGGTGGGATCAGCAGGATGCAGGGCCTGCCAAGCCCCTTTCCAAGCCTGGAAGCAGCAGCTCTGAGCCCTCAGAGAAGCACCTCACGCTCCCAGCATCCCAGGATCTCCCAGCAGCCGCTCCTCGTTTCACATCCACCCCGGAGCACTCCTGGGATTTTCCCTTCCCCAGCACCGCTGTTAACCCTGCCCTGGGGACAAACCAGGCGCCCCACAAACCTCCACCCTCAGCCAGCTGTAATCCTCGTTAATTAGCATCCAGAGCAATTAACTCGGGGTTCAGTGTCGGGGCACTGGGAGGAGCAGACTCTGCCCTCGTCCCAGATAAATTCTCCCTTTCCACCCACGGGCTCCCGAGGAGCAGGAACCTCGCAGTGCCCCAGGGCTTCACTGACCCAGAGCTCGACTCCCGCTGTGGCTGGACGTGGGTTGGACGCGGGTCCCCTTCCCAGGACGCTTTTCTCGGGGTCCCAGCTCCCACCTGGCCATTTCCAGCTCCTGGCTTGGCTGCATCTGCCAAGCAATCCCGGGTTCCTCTGGTGACCCCTTCCCTCAGGAACAACTTGGTCCTGGTGGCACTTCAAGAGCCGGGATGTGACCTCCTCACCCTGTCAACCCCCAGTCCCTCTCCAGAGAGGGATTAGACAGGAGGGAGCTTAGACCCTTATAAAACTCATTTTCTTTAGCCAAAAATACACTTGGGTTTGGGGCAAAGGCTCAGGCGTCCCTGAACCCAAACCAAAATGCAGGGTCCGAGCAGCAGGGGATGGGGATGGGGTGGGATGTGATGGGGGCAGCAGGATGGGCTGGTGGGATGCAGGGACTGGCAGCTGACGGCTCCGGATGCTCTTCCCACCCGCAGAGTACCTGAAGGAGGAGCTGGATCGCTACGTGGAGCAGCTGCAGATCGTGCGCGTGGTGCGGCAGCGGGAGCGCAAGGGGCTCATCACGGCGCGGCTGCTGGGGGCCAGCGTGGCCAGCGGGGAGGTGCTGACCTTCCTGGACGCCCACTGTGAGTGTCCCCCCGTGACACCCGTGTGTGCCCCCGGGCTGCGAGTGGCGCCGTCCCCGCTCCAGCCCTGCCCCGTGTCCCAGGCGAGTGTTTCCACGGATGGCTGGAGCCGCTCCTGTCCCGCATCGCCGAGGAGCCCACGGCCGTCGTGAGCCCCGACATCGCCACCATTGACCTCAACACCTTCGAGTTCTCCAAGCCTGTCCAGAACGGGAAGCAGCACAGCCGGGGCAACTTCGACTGGAGCCTGACTTTCGGCTGGGAGGTCATTCCCGCGCGGGAGAGACAGCGCAGGAAGGATGAGACCTTCCCCATCAAGTAAGCCCAGCACGGGGCTCTTTATCCAGATGGGTTTGCTCTTTTTTCCAACAAATTGGTGTTCTCCTTGGTGTCTCCGGGTGGGCGGTGCTGCCCCTTCCCAGCGGGTTCTCCCCTGGGATTTTGGTGTGGGAGATGTCAGGGAGTTTGTGCCCGAGCACGGTCAGAGCTGGGGGGGGTGGTGGAGGAAAAACCTCCCTTGGGGCTTGGGGACGCTGGGCCAAAACAGATCTGGGAATCACCTCCGGCCGCCTCTCGCTCCGGCAGAGCCGCACATTAAGGATTTAATTGCTGTCTCTGCCTTCTCACCCTCGGTGCCCTGATGCCCCCGCACAGCACAGGTCACCTGTGGGTCAGGCTGCGCCAAAATCCCCCTTCTTATCCCTGTGTTTTACATGCAGACAGAGCCTGGGTGGGTTTCCCTCCTCTCTCTGGTGCCCCAGGGTAAGCCGGGTGCCCCCACTGGGAGACACCGGACACCCCGGCCGCGGGGCTGGCTTTGTGCGCGGGTCACCTGGGCGACGCTCCTGTCCCAATAAAGGCCCCTTTCACCTCCAGCCGGGCACTTGGCTCCCGGCGGAGCCTCGTCTCCAGCAGCTCAGCGAATCCTTGGGGTTTATTATTTTTCCTGAATAAAAGCAAGGTTCTGTTCCAGCCTCAGATGGAAAAGATTAGGGAAGCGGGAGGAGGGATTGGGGCACCGAGCTCTGACCTCCTCCTCTTTTTGGCGACAGGTTTTTGGTAACAATATCCTCTTTTCACTTTGAATCCAGCCGGCAGCGAGGCCCCTCTGCGTCACGCTGTCACCTCTGTCCCCTCCCAGCAGCCAGGCCCAGCCTGTCCACCAGGGGACAGCTGGATGGAGGGAGACTCTCATTTTGGGGCTATGATGTCCCAAAACTCAGATTTCTCCTCTTTTATTTGTGTTTTACCCCTCCTCTGACCCCCGCAGGTCCCCGACCTTCGCAGGTGGCCTCTTTGCCATCTCCAGGTCCTACTTTGAGCACATCGGCTCCTACGACGACCAGATGGAGATCTGGGGGGGTGAGAACGTGGAAATGTCCTTCAGGGTAAGGACGGGGCGTCACCTTCCAAGGGCACCTCCAGGGAGCTCCCTGCTGGGGGGCCCGGGGGCTGGACCCCCCCACCTCAGGTGTGGCTTCCCCGCAGGTGTGGCAGTGCGGGGGACAGGTGGAGATCATCCCCTGCTCCGTCGTGGGCCACGTGTTCCGCTCCAAGAGCCCCCACACCTTCCCCAAGGGCACGCAGGTGATCTCCCGGAACCAGGTGCGCCTGGCCGAGGTCTGGATGGACGACTACAAGGAGATCTTCTACCGCCGCAACCAGCAAGCTGCCCAGATGGCCAGAGAGGTACTGGGCACGCTGGGGGGCTGCTGCTCCTGCTGGGAGGGCTGGTCCTGCTGGGAGATCCACCTGAGCAGTGGCAATGGCAGGGAGACCAGACAGGCAGACAGAAATCGCCAAAAGCTTTTTTTTTTTTTTTTTTTCTCTCCCCTTCTGGCCAGAATGTTTCCTAGTAGGAAAACATCGGGGTTTATGAATTCGTTTTAATTTTTTTAATATTTTTTTTCAACACCAATATCATAAAGCAGGACTCCCCCCCGATGTAAGGAGTAATTGGTATCTGACTATTGATTCAGAAGGCTGAACAATTGCTTTATTGAAACTATATTACATTACAGTATACTATAATATATTAAAGGGATACTATACTGTACGAAAGATACATGCTAAAGAAAATCTCGTGACTGTCTAAGACAGCCAGGACACAGCTTTGAGTGTTTGGCTGAGGAATCAAAGCAGTCCTCAGTAGAATCCAACTGACAAATCACTTCAGGTAAACAATCTTCCTTTTGCACATTCCACATGTGCAAAACAACAGGAGCGGCAAGTAGAGATAAAAATTGTTTTCTCTTCTTTTCTCTGTGCTTCTCCAGGAAAAAACCTGGGAGAGAGAATTATGTCTCTCTCTGTTCAGAGAATGTGAATGCCACACACCAAAACTTCTTATGCTTTTCTTTTTTCAACACCAGAACTTCTTATTCTTCACAAAGTATCTCCGAGCTCTTGGTGGAGCCTGTGGGTACCCGCCAGGTGACCCCCCAGCTTGTCACCACGAGGGATGATGACAAAGCTGGGGTGACTCCCAGCTCTGAGCCCCAACCTGGAAAGGGGGTTTTTTTGGGATTTTCCCTACTGTTTTCTGAAGTGAATTTAATTTTCGCCCATGACTTCGTCGATAGAAGACGTTTGGTGACATCACAGAGCGGCGCAGGCTGCGGGAGCGGCTGCACTGCAGGAACTTCACCTGGTACCTGCAGAACGTGTACCCCGAGATGTTCGTGCCCGACCTGACCCCGGCGTTCTACGGAGCAGTGAGTGCCGGGATGGGGGGAGTGCCCGGAGGCTGCGTCTGGGGGCTTTGCACCAAACCGGGGAGGGGGAGCTGGTGCTGCCACCTCTGTCACCGTGTCTGTCACCGCTCACTGTGTCTGTCACCTCGCCTATCACCGGCTGGCCGGGCCGGTTTGGGCTCCGGCGGAGCTGGAATCCGGCAGAGCTGGTTTGGGGCGAGTCCCCAGGGTGGGGAATCCGTGGGGATGTGGGGTTAAACTCGGGGGAAGAGCTGAAAACTTCCTTGAGCCCCAAACACCGTCCTGGCACAGGGAGGGCTGGAAAAACTGAGCTGGGGATGGGATGGGGGGCTCCATCTCCATCCCGAGGGAATCTGGGGACGGGTGGGAGGCAGGAGCCCATCTCCAGACACCCATCCACAGAGAAATGGGGACAGGCAGGATGTGGAGGGCTGGTCCCTGAGGTGAGAGAGATGGGGACAGCAGGACACGGAGCTCTGGCTGCATCCCCGAGGAACTGAGGGCAGGCAGGATGAGGGGCTCTAGCTCCATCCCTGAGGATGGGATCCCCCCGAACCCTTCCCCTCAAGCTGTGTTGGGTCCTGAGTCTGCCCCAGCTCAGCCAAGGCGATGTGACAGCACCCAGCCCAGTGACAGCCGAGTGCTGGGTGCTGGCTCCCATCCAGCTTTTAATTCACCTTTATTTCCTGAAACCTCAGCCCGAGTGCCTTTCCCTTTGCGCCGTGTGCCGGAGGCGATGGCTCGGGCGTTCCTCGTGTCCTGGAAAGGACACGGGACCCGGAGCTGAGTGCTGGGATGCTGTTTGCACAGCGATGACCCAGAGCCCTGCACGGCCAAACCCGAGCCGGTCCTACCGCGGCTCCTCTGAGCCCTTCTCTCCTCCACTCTCCCAGCCTTTTTCCTCACTCCTGCCCCTTTTTCCCCCTACCCCGTCATTTTCCCCCCTCTTTTCCCCCTCTCCTCCACTCCTCACCCCAGTTCCCGTTGCCTTTCCCCGCCCTTTTCACCCCCATCTCTTTTTCCCTCTCTTTCCCTCTCCTTTCTCTCCCTCGTTTTTCTCCCCTCTCCTTTTCCCACCCCCACCTCTTTTCCCCTCTCAACTCCTCTCTTCCCCCCACGCCACAGATAAAAAACGAGGGCACCAAGAGCTGCCTGGACGTGGGGGAGAACAACCACGGTGGGAAACCTCTCATCATGTACCCCTGCCACGGGCTGGGGGGCAACCAGGTGGGCCCCCAAACCACCCCCATCATTTCCCCCTCTGCCGCCCCCGGTTTTCCCCGGGGGTCAGCTCCCGGGGCGCGGCAGTGACGGCCCCCTTGGCTCTTCCCGCAGTACTTTGAGTACACGAGCCAGCGGGAGCTGCGCCACAACATCGGCAAGGAGCTGTGCCTGCGCGGGGACGCGGGCACGGCCGAGATGGGCGAGTGCCAGTTCCGAGGGAAGCCCGGCCGGGTGCCCGCCAGCGAGGAGTGGGACTTGGCGCAGGTAAGGAGCCCTCTCCGTCCCGGGAATCTCTCGTGGGCACGGCGGCATCGTGCCCGCCACGGCGCTGCCCCTCCGGTGCTTTCCCCTCGGTCACATCCCGCGCTCTCCCCGCTCATGGATCGCTCGGTTGTTTCTCGGCAGAACCGGCTGATCAAGAACTTGGCCTCGGGGATGTGTCTGACGGCCCGGGGGAAGCACCCGGCCCTCGTTCCCTGCGACCTCACGGACCCGCACCAGCTCTGGTCCTTCACCTAAAAGGGAGCGGAGCCCCCGGCCGGCCCCGGCCACGCTCAGGAAACCAAGATCAAAAAACACTTCCTTTTAATTTAAGAAGTGAAAGCCTTAAATATGCTGCATTTCGTGGTTGCCTTGAACTGAATCCCGTGCCTTTGGGGCCGGGCTCTGCCGGGGGCACCCCAGGGACCCCGAAACGCAGCAGTCGTGGCGGGGACGCTCCTGCCGCTGCTCCTCGGAAGCCGCTGCTGGTCCTCCCCATCCCGGCTCCAGCCAGAGACTCTTCAGTTCGTATCGGGCATTACAAACGCGGATGCGCCTCTCCAGATGGGGAATCTGGGCGGGAAAATCCGGCGAGGAGGAGGATGGTGATCGTGGGGCTCCTCCTGTCGAGGGGGGATCGGGGCTTGCGGTGGCCCCTGGCGGGCAATGGGAGAAGATGGGACCTGTGCCTTAGGAATCAAATTGGATTTGGAGGGGGGAGGAAATTAGATTCAAGGTTTCATTGTTGTTATTATTAAATGATGATGATTCCTGCGTGCGATTCTCCTTGTGCTGGGCAGGAGTTTTCCATGGATGGCATGACAGAATTTTTCTGAACAGGATCCTGGGTGCCACATCTCCCCTGGTCCAGATTTTTTTATCTATCCCAACTTCTGTAGCTGCCACTTTTGTTGCCATATCTTTTATAGTGGGGAAAAATCCCCCTGGACATGGCAGGAGGGGGAAGAACCTGTCCTAGACACTGAACCTCAAATAAAGAGATGATTTATTTTACACAAATCCTGTCTCCAGCCATTCTGTGCTCCCAAAACTCCTCTCACAGGATATTCTTTACTCTTCTTGTTCCAGAAACTCCCTATTTAGCCCAAAAATGAGTTTACAGCCCTTTGTGCCACAGCTGGGGCATCAGCTTTGCCTTGGGGTGTCCCCAGGTGGGGTGGAGCCGTTGTCGCTGTCCCTTGATGCTGATAGAACAAACATGGGATTACCTGGAGATTGAGTTCCATGAAATCTCGTGTTTTCCTTGGAGATAAGGGCAGAACTGCAGCAGGTGCTTTTTATTTCCATGACTTTTTTTGACCTGGGTGACCCCAGGACCTCCATGATCCCAAATTCCAGTGCCTGTTCCTCAAGGGCCAATGTCCCCCAGAACAACCTCCATTTGGAGTTCAAGGGGGGAAAAATGACAATGTTTTGGCCAAAACTGCAGGGTTTCTTTCAAAGCCTATCGCTGCCCCATTCTGCCCCAAGCTCAGCCCCAGCGAGGCCGAGCCCCGGCCCTGCTCCAGCGCTGGCTGTGCCGGGGGCTTGGGGAGGGGCTGAAGGTCGAGCCCTGCTTGTGCCTCGATTTCCCCGTCCCGGTGCCAGCGTGGCTCCACTCAGGTGCCGGATCAAGCCCTGGGAGCCATGCCACAAGCCGAGGCCGGGGAGAGCTGCAGCCAAGGCCTGCCGGGGCTGAGAGCGGGAGGCAGCGGTGACACGGCTGCGGGGCACGGGGACAGGAGGTGCCAGCGCAGGGCAGCGTCTCGCTGGGGTGCAGCGCCGAGGGGCGCTCGGGCTGTCCCTGGCGTGCCCGGGCGCCCCGTGTGCTTTGGCAGAGGGGCCAAGGCCGCTCGGCGGGGCCGCGGCAGCTGCTTCCCTTCCCGCGCCCCCTCCCGCGGCCCCGTTAAAGCGCCCGCGGGGCCGCCGCTCGCTCCCACCGCGGACACCGCTCCACGATGATGCTGCAGCTCGTGCTCCTCGCCGCGCTCGCCCTGTGCGGTGAGTCCCGCCCGGAGCCTTCGGCCTCGGCACCTCCCGAAAGCCCCCCTGAGCGAGCCACCCACCCCCGGGGGGACTCACGCCGTCCCTCTGTCCCCAGGGCGCTGCTCCGAGCTGGATCTCGATGGCATGCAGCGGGTGGTCGGCGGCACCGAGGCGCGCTCGCACGCCTGGCCCTACCAGGTGGGTCCTGCCGGGCTCCCACGGCCGCTGCCGGGGCTCTCCCCGCGCCGGCAGCCCGCGCTCAGCCCCGGCCCGTGTCTCGCCCCCTGCCCAGATCTCCCTGCAGTATTACTCCGGGGGCAGCTGGCACCACACCTGCGGGGGCTCCCTCATCCACAGGAACTGGGTGATGACCGCCGCCCACTGCGTCAACAAGTGAGCGCGCCGGGGAGCCCTCCTTCCCCTCCACAGAGCTCCTTTCCCCCAAAGACCCTCCCAGGCAGAAAGCCTGGCTGTCCCGAGCGCCAGAGCGGCCGCCCTCGGAGCGCTTTTGGGCTCCTCAGGCAGGGCCTCCACGGGGCTGCTCCGGCAGCGTCCCCTGCCCGCTCGGAGCCTCCCGGAGCGGCTCACGCTCGGCACGAGCGGGGCTCGGGGCTGACGGAGCGCTCCTGCACCTTGCCGGCAGTAACATGAACTACCGTGTGGTGGCCGGCGAGCACAACCTCAACAGGAACGAGGGCAGCGAGCAGGTCTTCAGCGTCAGCAGGATCGTCGTGCACCCCTACTGGAACAGCAACAACGTGGCCGCGGGGTAACGCCCGCGGGAGGGGCACCTGGGGGGAGCCCGGCCGGGCTTTCGGGGAGGGGTCCTTGTAACGTCCTCTCCCTGCCGCCGGCAGCTACGACATCGCCCTGTTCCGCCTGAGCAGCCCCGCCACCCTGAACAGCGCCGTGCAGCTGGCCGTGCTGCCCCAGGAGGGCACCATCCTGCCCAACAACTACCCCTGCTACATCACGGGCTGGGGCCTGACCCGCAGTGAGTGACGGGCTCCCCCCGCCCCAAATTCCCCCGGCACCGGGCAGCGCTCCGAGCCCTTGGCGGCCCCGGCAGGCTCCGCTGGGGGCTCCGCTCGGGGCCCGCAGGTGCCCAGCGCCGGCTGGGGCCGTGCCGAGCCTTGGGGGTCCCGGCGGGCCCGCAGGGGCTCGGCGGGGCCCGCGGGCTCTGCTTTGGCCGGGCCCTTGCGGCGTGCGGCGGCTCCGCGGCGGCGCTGACCGGCGGCGGCTCCGCGCAGGCAACGGGCAGCTGTCCAGCGTCCTGCTCCAGGCCTACCTGCCCGTCGTGGACTACCAGATCTGCTCCAGCGCGTCCTACTGGGGCTCCACCGTCAAGAACACCATGGTGTGCGCCGGCGGCGACGGCGTGCGCTCCGGCTGCCAGGTCCGCCCGCGGCCCCCGCGCTGCCCGCGCTGCCCCCGCCGCGCCCCGCAGCCCCGGCT